CTCGTTATCGGCTGGAGCTACGGATTAGGCAGCGATAAGGATGTGTTGTCCGGCCTAATCAGTTCAAAGACGACGTATTCACGGTCATTTCACCTTTTAACTAAATTAACAATTTTTTTTAAACCATTCCGTCTCGGAACACAGGCCGCCTAACTAATAATAAAATAATAAATTTCCTTGGACGTAAACAAGTAAGAAGGCCCAAGGATGACAATTTTAATAGGTTTAATTAGCAAAACCAATAATTAAAACTTTTTCCGTTCAAAATTATTTCTGTCGATTGTTTGTATATTTTTAACTTTGCATACAGGTTAGTTGTAAAACGAAAGTATAAGATAGGCCGCTTTGTGTTTTGGCCCAGTCGTATTATAGGCCCCCTCAGGATTGCGAGGTCGGCTCTCTTTGGGCACACCGGCTTTTATTAAATCTTTAATCTTTTAGTTCCAACTTTGCCACTTTTATTGGTCTTTCGGGGAGGAAAATGTGAGAGGAGGAGAGGAAAGATTGAATTTTCTATGGGAAAAAAGGTCGGAGAGCAGCTTGATTAGGATTATCCTGTCTGGGAGTTATGCCCGACGGTGACTATTTCTATTTCAAAAGATCTTGTAGTTTACACGAGGGTTCTGGACACAATTCATTCAACTTTTCCGAGCAATTTATTGGCCTTCTTTTTTTTCACCGGCTTTTATCGTCTTTCACATTTAGCTGAAAACGTGTTTATACTTGCATTTGGATTGTTCATATATGTTATTTGTAGTTTATTTTATAAAATTACCATTATTAAAATTTCAATTTAAAAATAAAGCTGGCTTGGTAGAGTAGATATCATATTTTTGGATACACAATAGTTTTAACTGCGTAAATTAGAGGCTAAATGTAATTGATTTCCTTTTAACAAAGAGCTTAACTGTTTTGTATAAATTGCTTGCGTTTAACAAACTGCTGACGGAAAATTAAACACAATTGAACAAACTCAACGAAATAACAAAAAACTGGAATTATCTTATAATCTTTATATTATATTGGCTTGGTTGAGTAGCTATTATATTTTTGGATATCAATAGTTTTAATTGCGTAAATTAGAGACGAAATGTAATTTAATTCCTTTTAGCAAAGAGTTTAACAGTTTTATATAAATTGCTTCCGCTTAACATACTACTGACGAAAAATTAAACACGCATGAACAAATTCAACGAAACAACAAAAAACTGGAATTATCTTATAATCTTTATATTATGTAATACGGAGCATATTACCTCTTTATATTAATAGGGCGTTATTTCAGTTCTCTCAATCAGTAATTCGACACTGCCGTCTTGGCGTGCCATCCAACAAGTGATAAATCACCTCTGTCTTCAGCTTTCTGAAGGAAATAATTTATGCTGTAATAGATTGAAATTCACTACATTCACTTGGGAGTCGGTTGGGATTGAAGCGATCAACGTAAATAATCCCGTCAATTGTTTTAAGATTTAACATTTTCTATAGCTTAAATTTTAATTTCCAAAGCATTTAAAGTTACCATGCATCACTGAAGGGAAAGTTCCCCGGTTCGAATCCAGCGGCACTGCATTCGAACCCGACATACTTACAAATGTTTTTTTGTTTTTTTCAAAAACACCGGCACCCTGAGGATTCAAATAACCTCGTAGTTGAAATACTCTCGTAAAAGTTTAACATGGGATCATTTTTGTTACACAACAACTAAAAAAACAAACAATGTTAGGTGAATGATCCGATTTGGCTGTTTTTCAGTTTACTTGTAGTAAAAATTGATAAAAAATCTCTGTCTCTCACACTTTCGCTGCTATTTTAAAAATATAATAAAATAATATTTTATTTACATTGGCAAATATTTAGTACTCACATTTTTCAATTGGATAGTATCTCTGAATGATAAATCATGTCTACACTTCTCCTTGATGGCTGGTGATTTCAAAGATGAAAAATCGTTTATATTTGATGGTATTATAATAATGTCAGACCTAATCCAAGTTTCACACATGCATATAATACAGTAGTTTTTAATGTGAGTAATCTTGAATATTCCCATAAATGACCTTGTAGTTATCACTGACTAAATTCAAGACAGCCCCCGCTTCCATCAGATTTGTCTGATGGTGCCCGATTTGTGTAGAGTTATTTTTCTTCTTTTACTTATCATAAATTTAAAAAAGACTAAAATATTTTCAGATAGACGTGTAAGTATAATTTTTTTACATACCAATGCACAAAATAACGTCGTTTTTTTCTTTATACATACTGATGAGATTAGAAAGATAAACTCGTTTCCTCCGTCGTGCTTTTGCGAGGTCCATCATTAATAATTTGAAAATGACCGGTGCAAAACATATTTTATTTATTTATTTTTTTAATAAACACGCTACGTTTATATATGGTTTTTATTTGTTTGTGTTTATTATAAAAGTATATATTATACACTGCTCACTGCGCGTATGATAAAGACAAAATAAAACAAATGTACAAACGTCGTATACCTCTCTACTTCAGGATAATTCACCGCTATGGCTCCAGGATCCTCATCTACAATATGGACAGGGGAAACGAGCGAAAAGGCAGAAAATAGCAGAAGTTCCTTTATTATTCATATTATCGCAGAAACCTTACTGTCGCGGTAATAACACGGATTGCATATTTGAAAAACACATTAAAACTCAGGGCGCATTAGGAAAATGAAATAACTGCATTGCAAAAAAGAGTAAATTGATCTTGAAAACAAGAGACAAGCAATTTAACTGTTGGAGAATAAAATTATTCCAAGGTCGGAATGAGCAAATAATTAAAGCTACCGTATTGGGAAAATTCCGTGTTCATTTAGCTCGTTAGAAAATTAAGAGCTTGTTACAGACAAAATTGAATAGGAAAACATGTTAACATTACTAGTTCAAAATATTTCAAGAAGTATTCTTTAATTTTGTAAATTAAACATTTTTTTCAAATGAATCATATCTTTGCCAAACTTCATCAATATGACGATATTTCAATCTAACCAATTAATCCCTCGAAAACAAAAATCCATTACACAACAATTTAATTCAGACCGTGTAGGATAGACGAAACTACTGTTTCTTAGAGGTCATCTTTTTACATTTTGATTTGCACTTACTGGGGTCAAAATTCTGGACCCATAGACCCATGAGGCAATACCTCGTTCTAATATTATGCTCATTTTATCTCTTTCCTTATTTCATTTTTCTTTCTGTCACAAATTCGCATTTCATTTAATAATTGTATTTATAAATATTTTGGAGGAGAAAAGATTGTCTGAATTTCAAGTCGATTTTAGACAAACCAATTTTCCCGTTGACAATTTCTTATATAATAATATTATTAAACCCCGTTACTTTGAAAGAGGTAGAAAGATTTTTTTTTTTTGTAAACGTTCGAGCAGCATTTGACCGAGTGGACAGAAAATCGTTTATTTCCAAACTTTTAATATTGGTGTTTCGACAAAGTACATAAATGTTATAAAATCTCTCTGCTCAGGACTCAGAACAGGAGCCAGAATCGGTTATGTATTGATTAAGGTGTGATGTGCGCTGATGATATTCTCATCGCTGACAGTCTTCGAAGGAATACAAACCTACTGTCTTCAATTTATTGCACAATCTGATTATATAGAAGATCATGGATTTTAGTAATGATGAAAGGCTGGCTGCTAAAGATACACTTTTTAATAACAAAAAGCACTATCGCCAACAATAATTATTATAATTTAATTTTTGAGTATGTTAAAACTTTTTCAGTCTAAATTGCTCACCCTTAATTTAATAGTTATATTTACTATAAATTAAATGAAGAAAAATATGGTTTTATAATGAAAGGAATTAATGTAATTATTATTAGTCAAATTATTAATTGTATTTTTTTTTGTCGACGTAAAATTTGAGTCAATCGAACACCGACAGAGAGACTCCCATGTCAAAAATTACTTTAAATTTTATTGCAATACTTTACACTTGGAAGACAAGATTGTTCTTTTTTCGTAATTCTTTTGATTGTTAATTCGAAGAATTTTTTATATAAATGTAGAATTGTTTTATTTATTCCATCTTCTTTCTTTCCGTATAATATTTTAGTACACCGTTACAATAAAGTTCAAAAGTTTTGAGTTTAAGTCATAGAATCAACCCCAAACAAAATGTAAAACAGAAAATTGACATTGTCTACTGAGAAATAGTGGTTCGTTCTAGCCTAAAAGACTTGAAGAGGTTGCATAAGACCAAAGCTGTGGTAAATATAAAGCACATGAAACAAGTTAATTGTATCTTCAATATGTTTTGGGTTTTAATAAAAAATAATTCAAATTTTGTGTTGATGAAAAAATAGTGAACCAAAAAGATTGGATTACTTCATTAAAAAACCATAAATAGTCAAAAGAAAAAAAAATTGGCTAGAAAATAACACCAACATTTTCATTTGGCTCACTTCGAAGACAGAAACTCTCAAAGTATAAATTTCTCGTTAGTAAGGCGCTTGATTAGACTAAAATCGCACATGACTGATCGGACGTGAAGGCTCAACAAAGCAAAGCTCCGTTTTTCTAAACCGGTATTTATATTTGTAAAGCACGTGGACTAACGATTGCGTCATACCATGATTATTTATATAAACTGACAGTTTAAAGAATATTGCACGATAGTATTGATTATTTCAAACAGTTTTTATTTCAATGTAATTTATACACCAAACATCCGTTTAATGATTCAAAACGGCTTTCTTTTCAAAATCCAATACTTTACTATTATTTAAACTGTCAGTAATATCACAAGAAACAGTTCACTGATGATTTTACAAAAGTCCTTTAAATAACCGTACCGTTGCTGTTTGCTTTGCTGTAATGCTTTTTTTATATTTATAAAACATTTCAACTCGATTTAGTACCTTTAAAATCACGCTTTAAAAGGATAGCATCCAGTACAGGCTAAAATTTTTATAAATAATATTATTACATAAAATCAAGTAGTTTCATTATTCTTTTTTATGCTCTAATATACTCAAAAGTCCCCTAGAACAAAATATTTGAAATTATACAACATACTACATTACTTTTAAAAATATTTAAAAGTTTTACTTCTTCCATTTTCTTCCTTACGCATTGTACAAAATGTACAGATGCATTTTCTTCGTTTGTCCACTTCTTGTTGTAGGCCAGATTAGCCTTATCCGATAGAACTAAAACGTATTTTATAGGAGATATAATAGTTTAGATCTATGAATGTTTCGTTACCTTTAAAGTGACAATAATCAGCCATAGTTATGGTATATCTGAAATACTTGATCCACGATTGCTCATTATATCTAAAGTTGTGGTCACGAAGCAATAGAGCCACTTTCTCAACATTTATTAGCCCATCTTTGATCTGAATTCAGTCATGAAAAATTGTCATTATAAAATTGATTCACTCTATTTAACACTATTACAATTTGGAACTTACAAGTTCTAATTTATTCAAGACACAGGATAAACCAGATACCTAAATTAGAATTTTTATTTAACACATGAACAATAGTTAACTCAGTATACTTTATAAATTTATTTTCATAAAAGAAAATACCTCATTGTTTGACTGTTCGTTATTCAATGGAAAAGAATAATTGAAAAACCATTCAAATTTTCTTTCTTTAAAACAAAAACTATATGTTAATAAATTTTCATATCAACATAAATTTTAAGTTTGACTAAACATAGTTTATACTCAAATGGTCAATACAATCTAACCAAATCAAATTAAATTTGCAACAAGAAAAACGTACCTGGAGCTAAACCTTTGTGACTTATACAATAATCAAAAGCAAAGTCTATTTCTTCTGTATACAGGACATTGTCTTGCTCCAATTTTGGCCTTGTACTTTGGCAATGACCATTTCCAAAAATAATAAGTGCCAACAAACTTAAATAAATCATTCTTTCGTGTATAGTGCAATTCAACGTACGAGCATTTACACATGTTTTTAATTTTATCAGTTGTTACATTGAATTATTAATTCTCAACAAATCGTTCAGGCTTCCACTTTTAAATCGAAACGAAATTTAATTCTTTTTGATTGGGTGGCACTGTAAAAATCACTTGTACATAGAAAACAAGGTATTAGATACAATAAAACTTTTAAATAAAAATTAAATAAAGTTATTAAACCCTCTTCTTAAGTTTGTTACTAACCGACAAGTTTTATAATATATTTAACGTAAGATTAAGTAACTTTTTAAGTACATCGACTGAGTGAGACTAGTAGTGTAAACAGGTGATTTTTACTTTAATCTAATGCAAATCTCAAAAATGAAGAAAATGTTAAATGCAACTTTTTATTAGGTTTCGTGGTCCGCTTGACCAAATAAATTATTTTCAATTGATTAAGGTATTGGTTGATATAAAAAAGTCAATGTCACAAGCGGGATTCGAACCCACGACCTTCGGCTAAATATGCCGCTGCTCTACCATTTGAGCTATCGTGACTTAGATCAACTCGGACACCGACTTCCCACCCAACCCAACCTTTCGAATTTTCCTTCCTTTTTGCCATTTTTCAAATGCCGTGTAATCTATTTGATTCTCGGCGACAAATGAAATGGCCATGTAGAGATTTAGTGAAGTATACTTCAGTTTGCTTATTACATTTTATTATGTTTCGTGGTCCGCTTGACCAAAAAAATTCTTTTCAATTAATTAAGGTATTGGTTGAGATTAAAAATATGGCAAAAAGGTGGGAAAAATTCAAAACGGAGGGTTAAGATGGGAAGTTAGTGTCCATGTGGATCAAGTCACGATAGCTCAAGTGGTAGAGCAGCGGCGTATTAAGCCGAAGGTCGTGGGTCCGAATCCCGCTTGTGAAATTGACTTTTTTATCTCAACCAACACCTTAATTAATTGAAAAGTTAAATGTAACATAAATTCATTTGTATAGATCTGTATAAAAGAGCTACGTCTAAATTTAAAGGCTGAACAAAAATTCTCAATTCTGTTAAATTTAAAGTTTATTAATAACCACTCTCATCAATTGTCACAATAGCCACAATATCAAAAATTAATTGCCACAACGAATCCTCACGATTCGATAAACGTCCTTTTTTATTGACTTTTATATGACTTTTATGAAAGTAATTTACTGGCGTGAATAGAGGCGCTTCTTTTGCAAATAAAAGGAGGAAAATATCGCGTATTCTAGATAATAAAATGTATGTATGTGTGAAAAAATGTAATTTATCAGCGTGAATAAACGGCTTCTTCCCCAATTACTTTTAGAAATATCGATCAAAGGAGAAGAGAGCTTGGTGACAAATGTAGTTTGCTGGCCAAAAAACTTTCTACAATCAAACTATTATTCATAGCCGAGAATGTTTTAACATTCATAATCTAAAAACGTCGACCAGTTCAATTCAAAGGTGTATAAAGAAAAAGATAAAAATTACACTTTCAGAAAAAAAAATTCATTATTTATATCTTATAGATCAAAGAACCTCGACAGCAACTGTATTTCAGTCAACGAGCTTTAGGGGAAAAGTTAATAACCTCCCTCGCAATTATATCCTTTCTGGTCGTTTGAGACACTTGCACCGTCATTAACTCTCGGCATCGGAGCTTGAAGCCGGCCAAAATTTCCACCACCTCCACATAAATAATAAACAAAGAATACTTGTCGGGAGTAATGCCCCAGAGACGGAGTACGGAGTAAGAAAATGTAAATTATTGGTGAAGTGGACTGTTAATCTTTGTCGGAAGAAGGAAAACCTGGAAGAGGCAGAAAGTGGCGAATATACGACCGGCGTACTTACCTACCCCCTTTTACCGTCTGGGCCTTATGATGAATATTTTTTATACGCTTTTAACACCAAGAATTTCTAAAAAAATAATCTAATTAATGGCAAATAGCCATGATTGTTAATTATGAAATGTTCAATAAATTATTATTTCTAAACAGCAACTATTTTTTAAGTGAAAAAGTTACATAAATTAACCAAAATATTGCCAAATGGTTTCAGGATATGCAATTTATGAATGTTATGAATTTATAAAGCCTCAGGGCTGATTATAAATTACATTAGATTGGTGATAATTGTGGATTTTGAAAGTTTAATTTTCAAATAAACATGATGTAGCTGTCCTAAACGAAAGTTGTACGTGTCACGAAGACGTAAGCCTTAAAAATGTATAATTTCAGCAATAAAATAGATTATGGGTCTCTAAGAATTTTATGTGTTACCCACCAGTATTAAATTGATCAAAAATGAATAGTGATATTGCCAATTTTGTAGTATTTACTTTCCCTTGCATTTTGTTTTTATTATAAATCGCATTAAAATATATTAGAAATCTTTACGTTTTTTACTGATGGAAAATTTAATTAAGGGATTTTGAAAAATAACAAAATAAAAGGTTTTGTTTATGGGACACAATAGTGTTTAAACAATTAATACCGTGTATAATGTCCTCGGTTAGCTAAAACCTCTGTGCACCTGTTAGGCATACTGTTAATAACGTTGTCAGTCATAACTTTTCATAATTTCACTCCATGGATGTTGCAACACTGCACTCAGTTGTTGCAGGTCAACTGTGTGCGGATGGTGATCGAAACGCCTTCTCTGCAAAGCATAAGACTTGAGCTCATTGAGTTTGAGGTCTAAAGACAATGGGGGAAGGGGTAGATGAATAATTCCCAAGTTTTCTAGACAATGATGATCAATTCTGCCTCTATGAGGTCCGGCAATGTCATCCAGAAATCGAAAATCTCTGCCAATGAGGTTCCTGGTTTGAAGGATGTATTCCTCCATACTTTCTTGGACATACCGGACTACGGTGAGATTGTCAACAATATGGCGTCCAATTCATCCTCCAGTGTAAATCCCAGCCCAGATCATTACACCGCCTCCTACAAACTGCTCTGAAGGGAGCACGAAACGAGGCATTGTGCATCCCCTGTTCTCGGTAGACTCTTCGGCTCCTGCTATCACTATACCGACAGAAACCACACTCATCAGTAAATAAAGAATTCCAATTGGTGTTCTCTTCTAGGCTCTCGTTGCACTATGTTCTCCTGAGATGATGGCGGGCTGTTGCTGCTAGTCTTCTCAAAGGGGCATACGAGGTGAGGCGATCGTACCACAAACGATTACGAATCTTTTGGGTTGGTAAAGGGCTTGCCAATACAGCTTGTCCTTCATTTAAGATTGGTGGGCACTATGGAAAGGGCTCCGTCTTTCAACAATGACTATATTTCTGTCGTCCCTTATCGTCGTAATACGCTGTGGTCCAATACCAAGCCTTCTATTGGTACTTCCAGTTTCTCGGAATCGAGACCACTGCCTCTACGATATCCACTTGTCGGTGACCTTGATAGCTCATTCTCACGATGATATTGCGAACTTCTGGTTGAAGATGACACCTTTCAATGGTTAAAGAGAAATTAACTAGATTAAAATGGAGAAAAGACGAGAAAAGGCGTTTGTTTACAAAAATGAGTAATCTTCATGTTTACTATTCTTAAGTAAATCCGTAATTAAAACTGAGGATTAACATTTTTTGTTTTTGGTTTGAATTTTCTATTTTTTTTTTATCCAACTAACAAGAATAATATCGATTAATTTAATTAACATAATAAAATTTTTATTACAAATATCCGTATTCATTTTTGAGCGGTTGACTTTATTAACTATCCAATTCGATTTANATATAATTTTTGAATTTGTTGATTTTTTGTTTAGAAACCTAACAACACATCGTCGCTGCCCTTGCATTGAACAAATACACCTTGCGGCCAATCGCCAAATCTCCCCATCGGAAATGGTATAAAATGCCTTTGATAAAGTATCAAACATACATAAACGGTTTTCTACATATTGCTGCCTCAAATATTAAATCTCTCTTTTGAGAGTGTTTTGTCCTCAGGAATATTAGCTAGAGATTGCTCCAAACTGACGAATATGTCTTATATCGATGTAGATATAAATAAATTTACACCATCCATTCATCACTTAGTAGAAATACGCCATATTCGTAATTTATGTATTATAATTTTTATTAAGGCTACATAATTTCGTTAAATTGAAAGTGATAATATTTAATCAACAATGTAGGTACTATTTTGTTCCACTAACTGTTCCCATCATAACGTAATTTTGAAATTCCATCTACCCAGAATTTCTCGATGTTTTGAGCGATGGATTTATCGAGGTGATTTCTGCAGTAGTGAAAAGTGTTTCTGAAGTAAAGGGTTTCTCATATATAGAGTTTTGTAGGGCCTAGTAAAGTGAAAGCATGAAAGAGCAAAGTAAGGACATCAGACGGATGAGGATGAGGTTTATTTTGCGCGTTATTGACGCTATTTTAAAGATTATTTAATATATAGAAGCTCTAGATCCAATCAGATGAGTGATTTGAGTGGCAAATTGTCGTAAAATATATCTGGCAACATATTTGGGAAAAAGATTACCTACCACAAACGGACAAGGTCGATGAATACCCAACAGAGTATAACCTGTTTTTTGAAGATGTTAACAATTATCGACACGTTTTTCTCAGAAACATTGCTGTAAGCAGTCTATTTTTCATCACCGTCAATATTTTACAAATGAGCCGTGTACATTGCGTTTTAGGAGGAAACCGCAGCAGAAGATGCGGTTTCAGTCATGAAGTAAAAAACCAATATATCGGTCCGACAAACATCCGGCTAAAAGGCTTGTATGAGAAAGCTGAAGTGTCTCTGCGATGTCGCACATCGTTCACGTGGCTTATTACAAAAGCTGAATTTTGAACATTATCTAGGACGAAGGATAACCAAAGCGTTTGGCGTCTTCCAAATCAAAATTTTCCGTTGATAAATCGATGTAAAACATCATCATTTATCACCACACACATCACAAATTTTTGTAGCATGAACTACGGTTTTCCCTTTGCGGTAAAAACGTATAAATAGTAAAATGCGCCATTTTAAATTAGCCAAACACCTCGTAAAACTATGAGATGTCGAACGAAATTTGTAAATAA